TTTTCTTCTTCTTCTATGTATAGTATTCCTTTAAGAATTTTCTGCAGTGCTGACTTGGTTGTTATAAATTGCCTTAACTTGTACTTGCCTCGAACTGTTCTTATTTCTCCATCAATTTTAAGAGTATACTGAGTATAGCAATTTTGATGTTTATTTTCAGGGTGAGTCTATGTTTTCCTGATGTTTAGGGTTGCTGATGAAAAATGTCGATGTTATTCTGATGTTTATGCCTTAGTCTATGAGTTAGCACTTTTCCTTACAGCTTTTAGTATTGTTTCATTGCTTCGTATTTTTTAAATCTTGAGTGTGATATGCCATGGAGAAGCTCTTCTCTGCCTGTGTTTGCTTGGGCTCTCAGTGCCCGTGTTTGATGTTCTTTCTTTCTCTACCTTTGGGAAACTTTCTGCTATAATTTCACTGAGTTGTCTATGCCGTTAGACTTTATCACAGCTCCTTCTACCCTGTGGATTCTTAGATTTGGTCCCTTGAATGTAAATCAGAGTTCTTGGAAGTTTTATAATACTATTTTTTTCTTTATATGTGTCTGGGTGTTTTACCTTCTCAACCTTGTCCTCCCTCCCTGAAGTTAATTATTTTTCTTGGTCTTGTATTCTGCTATGCTTTTATTTGATTTCTTAATTTCCAGAATTTCTGTTTGATTCTTCTACAGTGTCTCAATTTCCCTGCTGAATTTTTCCTCCATGTTTTAAAAAAAATTCTCCTTCAAGTGATTGTTTCATCAACTTTGGTAACTCTACTGTCTAGGTTCTGAAATGAGTTCCTTATGTTGTTCTTCTGCTTATTTGAGTCTTCCGTGTGGTCACTGATCTTTTTTACAAGTGGGACTCTGAAATCTTTCTGTGACATTTCAGCTGCCTCCTTGTCTTTAGTTTCCTTTATTGGAGAGTTATGCGGTTTTCACTGCAGTAGGTGATTTTCTTGTATTTTTGTGATTCTTTGTTGTGTTTTGTGTATTTGTTGGGATGGATGTGTCTTCTGGCTCTAATTTTCCCTCCATTCTCCACTCTTTTTTTTTTTTTTTTTTTTTTTTTATTCCCTGTGAGTCTTCCTGCTGAGCTGTCTTCACTTGGAATTGCACTTCTTGCTGATTTTTAACTGGGAGGCAGCCACAGTTCCCCTAATGACTTATCAGCAATCTGGGTACTGTGTTGCAGTAGGAAATACTTGTGCACTTCACTGTGTCCCCAGTAAGGTTTCAGAGACAGAGGTGCTGGGATGCTGTGTGTGGGAAATGAAGTTTACAGATTTTTTTAGAGCTAAAGTATCTATGTATAATTAGAGAAATGAGAAAATAACAGAAAAAGGGTGGGAAATACGAGTGAGAAGGAGCTGTGGGAAGTAGAGACTCTACTGTAGACAGAGAAGTGTAGAGAAGAAGAGCGTTTCTGTGCATAGAAAAGGATGGGTCGCTCATGAAAGTCTTTTCTGGAAAGATACATGTTTAAATTCAGTATTTTAGAAAGTAAAAATACAAAATTGCGAATAATAATAAAAGGTAAAAGTAAGTATGGGGACACGTGCTTATAATCCCATCACCTGGGAGGTGGGGGCAGGAGGATCAGAAATTCAAGGTTATTCTAGGTGAGTTTGAGGCCATCCTGGGAAAGAAGAAAGGAAAGAAGGGAAGGAGGGAGAAAGGGAGGAGGAAAGGAAGGAAGAGAAGGAGAGGTCAAGAGAAGGCAAAGAAGGAAGAGGAGAGATTGTGACAGAGGCACTCTCAGAGGAAGGACCATGTAGACTTACTGGGAGAAAGCAGTGACCTATAAAGGGAGGGAGGGAAGAGAAGAGCCAGTGAAAATATAAAATAAGCAATAACATGAAATAGAGGATATTACGCCTTTAGTCACTGTTCACTATTTCTCTTCCACTGGGATAACATGGCTTCTCCCTGTCCTTTGATGGTCATTTCTATCAGTCTTGACAAGTGCAGGGGATGGTGAGGACTGTTTGTCCTGGTAATTCAGACAAGTTAGGTCAGTATGTCCTTCTGGATGAGAAAGGTTTCTGTAGTTACAGACTATTTTATGTCAGAATTTCCTAGTCTGAGACCTAACCCCAACCTTGACCCCTGGCAGGTTAAGTTCTTGGCCCTGGTGAATTAGGGATGGAACTTTCTACTGATGGTGACTCAGGTTCTCAAGGACCTGGGAGACCTGCCCATCTGGCTACCTCTGTGTGCTGTCAGGATACTATGCTGGGTTCTACAACACACTTCTGGCAACCCTGGCAGTACTGGGGGAAGGGGAGTCTTTCTCTGGCTGGGCATGCCAGGCTCAGGCTTCCTCTCCGCCCTTCTACTACTCAGGCTTGTGCTCACCCCACTCTAGCCCACTCTCTACATCTGCTTTTCAACAGCTTTCATCTCTTCTCCCTGGCTTTCCTGGTGCCACTCCTGTGAGCAGTTTGCAGCTAATACTGGTTGGCAGGTCAGCAGCATCCCAGCTAGGTGCCAGCATCAGGCTGATGCAGTCCTTTTCATGCTTCAGTCCACACTCCATGCACATGCAATCTAGCCTATCTGTGGGAACAGTTCACTGGCAAGTGTAGCTAATGCTAGACTCTTGGTCAGAGAGTCATCCAGAGCACTGTGGTGGCAGTTCAAGTCCCTCTCCTCTTAACACATATACACACAACATAGTTCCTAATCTGCCATCTTGCCAGGAATTCACATTTCTTAAACACAAGCCGAGCTTTTCCTCTTCCTGTTTGACAAATGGTCACATATGTCTCTTCTCTTTGTCTATAGACATTTCTTCAGTCTTGGTAGAAGCAAGCTTTCCACATGGTAAGTCCCCATTATGTTATTTAAGCTAAAGAGATGAGTTTCTTATTTGCCATGGTGTATTTAGAAAATGACACTACTTAATGATTACATTGACCACACAGTAAAGATAACACAAAACACCTCCAATACCATTCTATGCATTTAAAATATTTTATTTATTATTTTTATTTCATGTTTTTGAGTGTTTTGCCTGCATGTATGTAAGTGTACCACATGTGTGCAATGCTCACAGAGGCCAGAAGAAGGTGTCAGTTTCCCTGGAATTGTAGTTATGGATGGTTCTTAGCCATCACATGGGTGCTGGCACTCGAACCAAGGTCCTCTGGAAGAATAGCAAGTGTTCTTAGCTGCTGAGCCTCATTCTACACATTTTAAAGCATACTGTTCTTGTATTTACACACAGACACATCTTCAGTCGCAGCACAGATCTCCTCTGGTAATATTTTCAACCTATCACATTTCTTAAGCTAATCTTTTCCTTTAGCAAATGATCCTAGATATGTCCCTTCTTCCCCTTTTCTATAGATACTTCTTCAGCCTTGGCAGAAGCAATCTCTCCAGGTGGTAAGTCTCCACTGTGCTGTTCAAAGTTTGTTATGTTTTAGTTAGAAAATGAGCTATTTAATGATCATATTGACATCAAATAAGCATCAACGAAAAAAAAAAAAACACTCACTTTAAAGCATCCTGCTCTCTGGGGTTACACCCAGATGCATCTTCCACCTCAGAGGAGGAGGCGATCTCCTCTGGTAATGGCTTTTACCTGCCATATTTCTTCCGATATACACAATCACAGTCTTTTCTCTTTCCATTTTGGAAATAAATCTATGTACTTAGAATGTTGTCTATGGCATAAGCCCACAGTACACAGAAAGCCCAGCCTTCTTTCCACAGAAATGATGTTCATGTCTCCTTCACTTAGCCACAGACACAAAAGTGGCCCTTCCACCAGAGGAGCCTTTTGCCAGCTGCCCTAGTCTTGACCAGATGAGCCTGAGGGAGGATGAAGCAGAGGTTCTTATCTCATTTGGTTGGTTGTCTGTGTTATGTTTCATGTTATACTTCAACCCAGAAAACACACACACACACACACACACACACACACACACACACACAAAGAACCAGGTAATGATAGTAATTCTATTCATTTGCTCTTCTGTTTTCCATGGTGGTCTTGGGCAAACCAAAGCATTCCTTTTCAGATATAATTCCCACTTCGAGCAAGACCCTTCATCATCAAACCTCTCCTCGCTCCTTGCAGTTCCTAGGGAACCTCTTTGCTGGCCACCCTCAGTCCAACACACATTAACAGCCCCAGATACTTCCTGTCTCCCCAGGACAAGTCAGGCAGGAGAGGCTAGTCAGCTCCCCCAGAGGACAGCAGGCCTCTCCCTTGCCACTGGTTATTAAACTGAACACAGTGAAGGCAGAGGCCAGGGACAGGATGAACAGGATAAAAGAGCCTCAAAGAGCCAGGAGGAGAATGTAGAGATGATCTTTTATGGAGGAAAATGTATCTCAGAGAAGAAATATTTGCTTAAGATCACAAAGCTAGGACAAGACAAAATCAGGTGTTCCAGCTCTCATCCAAGGTCCTTTCAGTACCCAGGGTTTGCTGATGAATCCATTTGTGTGGTTCCTCCAAATCCCTTGACTGTCTTCAGTAATATGTCTCTGCTGCCTCTACTTTATTTATTTGTTTGTTTTCAAGTTCTGGCTACTTTGAAAATATACAGGGCTAAAACTAGATGACCAAAGTTTAGAACTATCTCCACTTGTATTTGATATGGTCTTTCTCTCTCCGTCCCGCCATCCCTCCTCTCCTACCTCTATCCTTTATTTCTTCACATCCTTCCTTCCCTGCCCCATCATGGCTCCACTTTTTACCAGATTTCCTCGCTTGACATTCTCATTGGTTCTTTTTAAAATTTATTTTTATTATTTTTATTTTATGTGTATGAGCGTATTGTCTGCATGTGTTAAGCACACCCATGTTGTGCAATGCCCAAAGAGGTCAGAAAAGGGCATCAGATCCCCTGGAACTGGAGTCGTGGATGGTTGTTAGCCACTGTGTGGGTGCTAGGAACTGAACTCAGGTCCTCTGCAAGAGCAGCCAGTGTTTGTAACTGCTGAGTCATCTTTCTGGCCCCCTCATTATTTTTTGACATCACATGAGATGAACTTTTCTTTGCAGACCTAGTTGATGACAACTACACAGCTTACACAGTCAGGTGGCACACATACATTAACGTCCTTTATGAAAGTGTGACGGCCCCGGTCCCTTCCCATCTTGTTAGAAAGTGCTTCGTGGAGGGTAAAGCAGGTGTGGTGGCTATAAACCCTTACTTTCATTCCTGCTCCTCCCTGACTCACCACACTGAGCCCAGCATGAATGCAAGTCCCAGATCTTATGCTCCTGAAAGACAGGGTAGAAAAGACATGTGCTCTGTGGAGAAGAAGGGAGTTTGTAAGTTTGAACTATAAATGACCTGGTTCTTTTATACATTCCCACTGAGTCTCCACTTTCTCAACCCTGAAGTGGTGATAAAACCTACTCAGATTAATCTTTGTAAGGATCTGAGAGGTAAATTATCTGGCACATTGTAGACATGTGACATGAGAATCCATCTTCATGAGGATCCATCTTGCAGGATCCCAGCTTCTCATACACCGCATCATGCCTGCATGTGTGAATGCACAAATAAACACATGCCACCGTGAAACAGGCTTGTTACTGTAAACCTGTCGTCGCCTCATGTGAAATTTCAGTGAAGCCAAATTTTGATACCTTCTTTTCACTCCTCTTTTTGACAGCCACAGATCCAGTTTTGATGAATGTGACTCCAAAACCTGGTAATGCTCGTGTGCTGTTGCTAGAGTAAAGCTTTTATAATTTATCATCATATTTCATCACAGCACCCATTGCTGATTTTCCGATGGGTCTCCTCTGCGTGCAGTAATGTAATATTCCACTTCTCACCGTCCATCGTCCTCATCTGAGGAGTACAGTAGAATTTCCTGCACCTCATTTTCAGTTTTATAAAAATGTTTCTTGCAAAATTGAAAGGGCTTTTGAAATTTTCCTCTAAATGGAAGCCAAATTTCCCCCCCAAAAATGTCAACTCAAAACATGGGGTAACTAGATGTTGAATAAATGAAAATTTTATCATTAGAGGAGAATTTATACATGAGAAAAATTTAGTGTCGTTTTAAAATTTCTTTTATGACCATTCAACAAATTACTTTTACTCCTGGAAAATAAAAAAAATATAACAATGCTTGTTATACTTGATGAAAAGAAAATAAAATGTAGTGGATAGTATTTCTGCATTTGAATTGACACATTGGTATGTGAATTAGAGAAAGTGTATGCCCCTTCAGCTTGAAACTGGAATACATGACTTTGAAGATGCACATTTTAAAGCTTTTTAATTTTATTTTTACAGTTACAATTTCAGTTGCTGAAGAAACAGACCCTTCACCTGGTAATTCTTATTTCTGTCTACTCACTAATGTCAACATTAATACTGTTGAGATCATATTTCTTTTTCATGTACATTTCTTACACCTTATAGGAAAAAATTATGATTTGTAGGCACATTAAATACAGATATACACACGGTGTGGGTCAAGGCCACCCCAAATTCACCTAGCAGAACTCACTTAAAAGATAATCACATACATTCCTAGTTCACACTTTTTTCTTCCCAATGGTAAGGATGGAACCCAGGACCTCACAAACACCAGACAAGCACTCTACCGTGGAACTACACCCTCAGTCTATTCTCTTAGTTCAAACAAGCATAGCTATCTTGCTTTTGATGTTACAGCACCAGTGAGGCCAAGGGACGGCAGCTGTCCTAGACCAGGATGCTGCAGTCAGAACTAATGCCAGCGAGCTTATTGATGTTCATGAAGCCATTTCTATGGGCCAAACAGCGCACTGCTGTTCAGTTAACATGAAGACAAATCATCTCGCACCTATCTGTGAGTGTGGCACTGCTGGGGTATTACAGCTGTGCCCCCCTCATTGTCTGCTTCGATAATGGACCACACATATCTACTCTAATGGTAGCTCCACAGATTATGGTGCCGAGTGATGCTAGCTGGCTTTTTGTGTGCATGTCTCACACTGTGCAACACTGAAGTCTCCTAACCACCCATTTCTCAGCATGTACCCTCATAGCTGAACAACGCGGTTTAAAGGGTTTGCTTTTTATTTTTAGTTTAAAAATGAACTTTTTGAAGAATCACTTATATGTAATAGACTGCACACATATCTGCGAGTTTTGTCTAATGTACTCAACTGAGTAACCAACACATCCAAGACATGGAGCATTTGCAGCGCCCAAGGAAGTTCTCTTCTGCTTTCTTAGAGTAAATCTCATCTTTCCTGGGCAACCACTGATCTGCTTTCTGACTCTTTAGTTTTTCTAGAATCTCATATAAACAGAATTAAATAATATGTGCTCTGTACCTGACTTCCTTAAATTGTTTTGGAGATTAGTCCTGTGCGTCTATGTGCCGGTATTGCTCTCTCCTATTGTTTACTGTACTGTCCTGTGAACCTGCCACAATTTACCCTTTCCCCTGTGGGTGAACGCCTGGGTTGTGTCCAGTGTGCGATTATGATGGAGAATTCCGATGTGCACAAATCTTTCTGTGGACATATATTTTCATGGCTCTCAAATAACTGTATAAGAGCAAAATAGCTAGTTTATATAATATACTTTGATTATTAAAACACTAATCAATAGTAATGTCGTGGGGAATACTTTGATGAATCAGGGCAGTGCCCCGATTCAAAACAATTGTTTTCCAAGAATTGTTTCTTTGGGGAAGGGGCTTAGAGGAGTTCAGTCAAGTGTCACCTTGGGATGGTGTTTACCGTGGAAGCCTGACCATGACCATCTTTCTCCTTCTCTTCCTGGCAGACCTGCCGCTGCGCCTGGCGGGTGGCCGGAGCCGCTGCGAGGGCCGGCTGGAGGTGCGGCACCAAGGCGTGTGGGGCACCGTGTGCGACGACCGCTGGAGCATCAAGAACGCCCGCGTGGTGTGCCGCGTCCTGCGCTGCGGCCGCGCGCTCAGCGCCCCGGGCCGAAGCCGCTTTGGGCCCGGGATCGGTCCCATCCTGCTGGACGAAGTGCGCTGCTCCGGCACCGAGGACTCGCTGGAGAGCTGTGCGCACGCGGGCTGGGCACAGCACAACTGCCACCACCAGGAGGACGCGGGTGTGGTCTGTGCAGGTATGGGACCTGGTGCAGGCCCAGGCTGGGGCTTGTCCGGAGCCTCTGCCCCAGCACCGCCACCCTGGAAGCCCTCGGCCTCCAACTATCCATCCCTAAAGTCAGAACTCGGGACACGGACTTAGCCGAGACATCAGATCTTAGGATAAAAGGGCTTTTGGTAGTGTTTTAATCATCCGTTTCGAGTTTATTAATCAGTTTTCTCGAATCCCAACTCAGTGAAATATTCCTTCCGAGATATAACCGAAAGATCGATGGGGTCAAGAGAGGACATCATAAAACAGTTAAGGGAAAGCTGCTGTCAGATACAGGCTCTTCTGTACCTTTGTCAGTCTCTGAGGACATCAAGGACCTCTTCCTGGTAACCGAAAGATCGATGGGGTCAAGAGAGGACATCATAAAACAGTTAAGGGCAGTACTGCTGCTGTCAGATACAGGCTTTTCTGTACCTTTGTCAGTCTCTGAGGACATCAAGGACCCCTTCCTGGGGACACTACATCACCTTGACCTAACAACACTCAGAGCCCCAAAGATACCCCTCGTGTCCAGCCGGCCCCTCCTCCCCAGCTTCTCTGTGCCCTTTTCATGCAAGATTTCCCCTGTACCTTCCTGGGATACATGTCATTATCACCTGTGTCTTTCTTGGCATTCTGATGTCCTCCTGTGTGGTACAGAACCTTTAAACTGACCTGTGTAAACCTCAGAGTTAGGGAATCCTAAGATTTGAAGAAGGCTGAGTTGGCCTCATCTCTTCTGTTGATACTTTTTTTTACAGGGGAGGGGTAATCAAATCACAGCAATTGCTTTGACTTTGATATAGGTTTTGCCCCATTTTCACAGATGTGGAACCCAAATAGAAAAGATGTCAGAGGCCCCTGAAGACAAGCATTACCCAAGAAAACGTAGCAGTATGAGTCTATACTGGGGTAGTGGAGCCCTTAACTTCCAGGCCTGTTTTTATTATGCCTGTTCCCAGTGCTCTCTGAACCCACTGGCAGTGATGATCCATGTGCCATTCTTAGAACACACACCAAGGGGGCTTCATTCTATCCAGTACCATGTCCAAATGGATCTGGAATGTCTAAAGGGTTACATTCTTCCTGGGGTGAGCCTTGGCCCTGGGGGATAGTCCTGTCTTGATAGCCACAGATTCACCCCAAGCATTCTGTGTGTGGGCAGGGACATCAGTCAAGGGTTCGTTGTGTAACTGTGTTTGTATTTATCATTCTTTTGCTCACACAGATCTTGGTGCTGATGGCACCTGTGTCCCCAGAGCTTCTTTGTATTGTCAGGATTCATCTATCAGGAGACCCTGGGCCCTTGTTTACTTTGCATGCCCTAGAATCTTCTGCCACCGTACTCAAACTGTCATGGTTGGCCTGCTGTTAGCGTTATCACCCTCTTCCAGTGTTCAGCTCCAATAACTCACTTTTCCTCATCCCCCAACAGGTCCAATTGATTCTCTTGTGCCCAAGGAAAATGGTAAAGTCATCTCACTTGGGGTCTGAAGCTGCTTGAAGGGGCGCTAAGAGAGCAGCTGAATGGGGGAGGAAAAGCAGGCTGTGAGGGAGGGAGGCTCACCAAGAGAGGGAGGCCCACCAAGAGAGGGAGGCTCACCAAGAGAGGGAGGCTCACCAAGAGAGGGAGGCCCACCAAGAGAGGGAGGCCCACCAAGAGAGGGAGGCCCACCAAGAGAGGGAGGCCCACCAAGAGAGGGAGGCTCACCAAGAGAGGGAGGCTCACCAAGAGAGGGAGGCCCACCAAGAGAGGGAGGCCCACCAAGATCACTTGCATTTCCATCACTTTCAGGGTTGAGGAGATGACTCCATTGGTAAAGAACTTGCTAGCAAACACAGGATCTTGAGTTTGATCCCAAGCACCCAAGGCTAGACACAGTGGTGCACACCTGTAATCCCTACACTGGGGAGGTGGAGACAGAAGGATCCCAGGGACTTGCTGGTCAGCCAGTCTAACCAAATCAGCAAGCTCCAAGTTAAGTGAGAACGTGTCTCAAAAAATAAAGTAGAAAGTGGTAGAGGAAGATACTGGACATCAACCTCAGGCCTACACACATGTACACACCCCCACCATCTCACCCAACACACATGTCAATGGAAGTCAAGAGTATAAAGTAAATAATGCTGAGCCAGCCCCATCCCTAGCCCATAATACTATCTATGGTATTTTAGAAAGTGCGCATACGGTCATCCCCTAAGCTACAGGTGGATGTACCAACTTCTGTCTCTCCCACAGCTCGGCTCTCATGCTTACCTCACCTCTTCCAAGCCGTTATTGACCGAGGCTATCTCCGGAGACTGGGCTACTCCTCCTGGGACATCCACTTAAATGATAGGATGTGTCGCCCTCAAGTCACTGGGCGTTACCTTATCTTCAATATTCCCTATGGCCACTGTGGCACTGTCAGGCAGGTAAGAAACTGACCATCTGTGGATGGAGTCCAGGAAGAGGGGCTTAGAAAATCCAACCACCTGCTATAAACCTGTGTATAGATACAGAGGAAAGACCTGAGTCCTGACTTTATTTCTGAAGCAGCTCACTATTTTGTCTACGATATTCCATCCTTGGGGGACTTTAGAATACACAGTGAACTTAGGATGTCCTCTACAAGGGTCAAGTGTTGATGACATGTGATAGATATGTGAATGGATTGATAATATGCTCCAAGTTTCAAAACCCAAGCATTTTTCACAACATGGTTCTTGACTGAGCATTAGGACACATCTACCATGAGCAAGTTATGGTGCTGGGGATGAGAGAGGCTGGGTCGTCTGTTATGTTTCTAACCAAGTAGCTAGTTACATTCCACACTGCGAAAAATCAAACATCTAGGACATTATTCATGAATAATGAAACACATAATAGCTATTTAATTTTCCTCAAGCACCTGCTTATTTCACACAATGGCCTTGAAATGAAGGAAACAGGTATGTGTATGAAGGAACTGTTCAGTCATGACATCCTTCTTCTCGTAAATCGTCCAAAGCATGACCCTTATGTTCTCCTGCTTTCCTGTTCATATGCATGCAGAAAGCCTGCCTGGTGTTATCAGAGGTTACAGTCATTTAAATGGCCCGTGTGATGAGACAGAACCCTCCAGCTCTGTCTTCACCCTTTGTTGTTTGGTTGTACAGACAATGGCCATTCTTAACCTTTTTTTTCCTCTCAGAAAACTTCATTTTTTATCTGAGAGGTTTCTGGGCCCCAAAACCAAGCTGGAAGGTCCCCCTGTGTGGGAGGAAGGCAGTTCCTGGGACACACTGAGCTTTAGAGATGATCCTGTGAATGTCCACTCTGGTCATGGCTGGCCAGGTGCTGGGACCCGACCACCACCACATACACACAAAGATTCATGTGCTGGCCATGGTGCTAGGACACAGCAGGGCAAAGAGCCCAGACCATACTGAAGAAATCTTTGTCACAGAGTGATTTCAGAGTCAGTGAGTGAATAACCTAGATGCTGGCCACAAGACTGGCAGGTCCCTGTCCCATTGTCCTTACATCCTATGAGAGGGAGGTAGACACTGAACAAACATGAAAATTAGAATCCTCTTTATGGAAGAGAAGGCAAAGAAGATCCCAAACAAGGAATGGGCTGGGAGAGTGACTTGGAGAAGGAATGCCATGTTGAGTAGCTTGCAGGAGCAGAGTCTGAATTGATGAGGTGAAATGGCTATGAGGAGCACTTCATGTAGGGTGTGAGCTGGTAAAACTCAAGGCAGCAGCAAGCCTGGGGGTGGGGAGAAGGGTGAGGAAGAGACTTGAGGGCCAGATTAAAAGGGGTGGGGCCGTGTGAACATGAAACGTGGGTTTTATTCTAAACTGCGCATTCTCAAGACAAGCACTACCACTCTGAAGGGAGAAAAGAGTGCTGTTTCTTAGAAGCAAAAACAAGACTCTTTCTGGATAAAACAGAATAGACGCATCATAAAAATATTGTATTTGTTTTATTAAAATTTCCTAATGGGAACTGGTAAGAGTTCAGGATGAATAGGAATGAAAATGTCTACAAAGCTTGTCTGTCCACGGGCCATCATGAGATGTTGGTCTCAGCTACTAGATGGAGTGGTCTTCACAAGCTGCAAGGTAGAAAGTCTCAGGATCTGAGTTACACAAGCTGCAGAAAATGTTCCCAGTCAGGTGAAGCGTCCTCATAGGGCATTTGAAGGAGTACAAGTGGTGGCCCTTGACCGTCACATCAGCAGTTCCCCTTCTGACCCTCAAGGTATGTTGGAGCTAATGTGTGATGAATATAAGCTAAGAACCAAGGTCAACAAGACCTGGTCTATAGCTCATTTGGAGCCAGAACTAGTTGGAGTCAAGGACAAAGAGGAGACATTGGTGTATGGCCTGAGGGTGGCAGAGAGAATGGAACATGTGGAGGACTTCAAAAGACAGGGAGCTCCAGGCAGCTATAGGGGACCTGCCACAGAGTTTATAGTGCTACAATTTGGCTATCCCTGGAGGGAAGGAGCAGTCCTCACCTGCAGGGGGTGCCCTGCATTTATCCCACATTCTGTCACCCCCTCATAGAGTTATCTATCATAGAGGTCCAGCCAAGGACTCCTGCTCTCCAGCGTGTCTTGGAGCCGGTGCCCAACAAGTGTTGGAAGGAGTGGGCTCTGCTCTAGAAAGTAGATAGTGTCAGGAGCCTGGGTGTGCTGCCCACCAATTCTCTCATCTTCACAGGAGCACCACGGCTTGCTCAGCTACTCCAATTCCATCAGAGGCAGAACACAGGGCCACCCTGGTCAAGTCGTTGTGCGACACAAGGTGCCCCAGGTGAAGTTTACCTGCAAGGTAGATGGCCAATCTACAGTTGCAGCCGTGCATGGGAGTGACACACAGAAGGATGTCAGCTATGATGTGTCAATTTCATTCCTCCAGTCCCCTGTATCCCAGAATATGGGGGGCATGGTACCTTCCTATGCTAGCCAGAGGGAAGAGGTCTTCCTCCAGGCCACCCTCCAGAGCCGTAATCCCAGACTGAGGCTCATTGTGGACACTTGTGTGGCTTCTCCAGATCCCAGTGATTTCACAACTGTCAAGTATGATTTGATCCAGCAAGGGTAAGGAACATGAACCCCTCCTCCCCACGTTGGTTGACTGTTAAATGCTAGTGACATTCATTACTCTAGGGAACCCGTAGTCCTAAATCGGAAGAGTGTGGGGCATCCCGGCCAGACCTTTGATCACAGTGGGGAATGTAATTATAGGCAGCCTAGACAACCTCCCTTGATTCCTCAGGACCCTGGGCAGTGCTCTGATGCTGCCTGCCCCCATCCTTTCAAACTCTTGCCTCCATTCCTTTCTAGTTTCCCACTCTCCTGTAAGCCTTCAGGGCATTTGGCTCACACTGACAGGAGGATGTGCTTTCCCAAGCTAAACTCAGTTAAATGAGTGACATTTCTTCTGGTTCACCAAATGATCTGCCAAGGGAGAACCTTGGCAAGTTGTTTGCCCTGTAGCTCCCTCACCCTCCCCAGGTTCTATTGTGTTACTTTTCCTGGGGAACATGAACAAATGCCTGTGTGCTCAGGAGAGGGCACCAAGGACAAACCAAACAAAGTATTCCATCCAAGCCCAGCTTGGTGAACCAATGACTGTGTTGGGCTCACTTATAGGAACGTGAGTGAGGGGTTGCTCACAGAAACCTAGGAGAACCTGAAACAGTTGCACTGTTGGGATTTTGTTTCACCAGAGAAGACCACTCAGACACAGAAAAATTCACCAAAGGAAAGTCTATAGATATATATATTTTTTTTTTAGCTGGTCATCCAGCAACTACACTGGGCATTTGGTTCCCAAGTGCAGTACCACGCTGTCTTTAGGGTAAGCTTTTATACAGAAAAACTACATCTCTGGGTGAAAACTCTAAGTTCCCAAGCTTAAGAATGGAAAGGCCTCCTAGCAGTTTTTATTCTATAAGACAGTTGCTATTCTGGAAAAGCAAGCCAAGCAAAGAAACACAGAAGCCATAAAGCTGCAGTTAGCAGGAGCAACCAGGAGTATGCTGACCACCAACTGCCTTTAAGTTTCAGAGGCTAGATACAGCCTAGACTTCAACATGGCAGAGCTGTGGTCAAGATGCCTTATCACACCATCACCAAGAAGTCCTACTCCAGCGTGGATGAGAGATCCCCATGAAAACTACATAGATGGAATGCTGCCCCCTTCAGTTAACCTTCTACCTCCTATACACTTGAGCATCTCTGAGACCACATGCAGCTAGGGTAGGGTGGGAGGGAAAGAGTGGCTGGAATCTCAGGTGAGGATCTAATGACCCTCTCCACCCCTCCCTCTATGAAGGAATGCCAGTAGGGCCCAATGTGAGGATCTCTTGAGTGTGGATAATCCCAGCTGCTCTGGTGTCTGGATGGCAGTGGTCAGGTCTAGAAGACAGAGGCCAAATGTTTATGGAGAGGGTAACTGGCAACCAGTTCAAAAACTCATCATTCAGTCCATGGTGGCCTCAGTGTGGCTAAGAGCCACAGCAGCCTAAAGCCCATGAGAGGCACTGAGGCACCTGTTCCCAAAGGTCAGCAGAGGTGTAAAGCACGACCTGCCACAGGTACTACACAGACTCAGCTCTAGGGGAGAAAGCTTTTCCCTTTGAGCCTCCTTATGAACATATTAAGGCAAGAAGTTCAGTTTGGTGCCAAAATTTAACAGCTAGCTCGTCAGTTCTGCTTGCTTTGGGCTGAATTTGCTCTTTTTTCTCTAACTTGTAAGAACTTGGGTTATTGATTTGACATCTTCTTTATGAATTATATGCGTTAAATGCTATAAATTTCTTTCTAAGCCTTGCTTTAACTACATCCCACAAAGTTTGGTAATTTGGATATTCATTTTCATTTAGTTCAAAGTAATTTTCTATTTCTCTTGGGACATCTCTGATCTATTGGTTATTTAGAAGTGCATTGCTTACTTTCAGATATTTGAGAATTTCTCAGCTTTCTGCCATTGATTCCCAATTGAATCCCATTACTATCTGAGAATGTGTTTGGGGGAATTTCTCTCCGTTTAAGTCTGTGGAGGTGCTTCTTGTGGCCAGAATGAGGTCTATCTGGAATGTTCCATGTGGGCTTGAGAAGAATGTGTGTTCTGCTGTTGCTAGACAGAAGGTCTATAAATGTCAACTACATCTACTGTATTGATAATGCTCCCTAGATCATCGGTATCCTTGGCTGGCTCTCTGCCTACTGGACCTATCACCTGATAGAAGGATACCGAAGTATCCCCTTTAATAGTGGGCTTGTCAGTATCTCTCAGCTCTCTTGTCTCCCACATTTTAATGCTCTGGATGTGAGTGCATTACATTAAGGATTGCTGTATTTGGTTAAGATTATTCCTTACTTCTCTTCTCTTAGTTGAGGATCATCTTCTTGGAGGACTGAACCTTTCTTTTGTTATTGTCTAATATGCCTCTCTGTCCCTGATAATTATGCTCTTTCTGGTTTGTTCTATATAAAAGTAATGCAATTGCTGTAGCTTTCTCTATCCCCTTCACTTTTAATTTATTGGTGTCTTTGTATTTAAATCTTGTAGACAACATTGTAGTTGAATTTTTGGTGGGCTATTTTGTAATATATTCTTTGTCTTTAAATTGGTATATTTGTGCCATTAGCATTTAGTTATTATTTAACTAGTTAGATAACAACCCACCACGTATTCATAACATTTGGTTTTTCGTTCCCATCCCCTTTACTACCTGTTTTCTGCCTTCTCTGATTTTAACTGTGCATTTTATATAACTCCATGTTACCTCCTCTTGATGTATCATTTACATTTATCCCCTTCACTTTTCAGTGGTTTCCCTAAGATTTACAAAATAATTTTCTCTTGGTAGTGTTAGGAATTGAATCCAGGGCCGTGGGATGCTAATCAAGTACTCTTCCACAGACTTGCATCCCCAACCCTGCCTTTAAATGTTGCAACAACTACCTTGTAATCTCCTTGGGCAAAAGAGTGTAGTCCTTTGAAAGCAAGAGTTGTAGCTAAAACCTTGCTTTCATTTCATTGTGCTTATTTTCAGTTCCTTTCTATTTATGGCCAGGAATAGAGTTTTCCATTGTAATAGTATTTAAACCATAGTAGAAGCACTTTCTTCACAAAGGAGAGGGTGGTGGGAGGACCTCCATTTAGAGTTCAGAACCCTAAGACCAAGTCTGGTTATTTGGGTTAGAGTGAATTCGTGACACAATACGTTAATCTTTTTGCTCTGGGGCTTTTCTCCCCATCAGATGCATCAAAGACAATACATACTCCAACCTCCATCCCTCTGAGAAGAACGTGGTCCAGTTCAAGTTCAATGCGTTCAGCTTCCTCAAAAGCTATGATGTGGTCTATCTGCAGTGTAAGATCGCTGTGTGCCGAGCTGGGGACTCCTCTTCTCGCTGTTCCCAGGGCTGTACAGAGCGGAGTAGGAGGGGTACGGGCCCCACGGATGTCCAGGAAGAACAAACTGCATATTTCCAAAGAGTGGGGCCACTGAAGATCCGCAGAGCCGCTGATCTGAATGAGACCCTTGTGTGATCGCAGAAGCTTTCAGTGAGTCTGTTAGAAAACTAGAAACAAGGGTTATTTCTTACTGGGAAGCAGTGTGTGATCACTCAGAGGTCCCACATTGACTGCGCCGTCTACATTATCCATGCAGTCAGGCAGAAGAACCTGGTTCTCTGAGGTTTGTTACTACATAAATCTCTGATTGCTAACTTCCAAGGCAGTTACTCTCTGTAGGATAAAAGCTCTGGCTTTTGTGATTCTTCACTGTCAAGAACTTGATCATTGTACAAAATGTTAGAAAAAGCAGGCTGTCCCCCTCTGTCCCGAGGCCGTGTTAAATATTGTTTTTAAATTTTGACTTATCCACATGTTGATAGGTAGGTGGGCCTCTGTTTCTGTTCCTCTGGCAATATGAGAATTTATTTTCAGATCCTGTCAGGAGTCTTGTGAAAAATAAACTATACATTTGCCAGGAAGCCACTGTTCATTTTTCTTTGAACTCTTGTAAACATGACAGCTAAATGACACAAGTTAATGACTTGTTTTAAAAGGTTTCATTCAATTGTTTTGTTTTGAAGGGAACAAAAGTCTGGTTTTGGGGGGTCTGGCTGTCAGACTGAAAATGAGGGGCTGAAACAGGATCATAAGAACCATGGCAGCTGCTCTCACATATGAACACAGTCATGTTCTTGGTCTGTTTCCAAGATCTCAAAGCATCTGGGAAACGTGAAAATTATTACCTAAGAGACCTGAAAAGCAACAAGAACAGATCAGTAACTTCCTGTTCCTGGGAAGTAGGGCAGCCTTCGCCCGGGTCTCCCTCTTTACCTCCACAGAAAGCAGTCTGTGCTGTACCCAGTACCCTCAAAGTTCTCATGTTGTTTTGAGACAAGGTCTCACTTTGTAGCCCAGGTGGACCTTGAATTTGTGATCCTCCTGCCTCAGCACATTCTCTTAAAAACATAGACTTTAAGCTTTGTTCTTTTCATTAGTCAGAAAATATTCAGTAGAAATAGTTAAAATGAGTTCTCATCTAACCCCAACAAATTATTCTAGTTTTTGTTGACGGAGATTACCAAACAGGAGGAGGGTTGCCAAGTGCCAAAGGGAGGAAGGCAGTGTCTGCTGGAGCCTAGGAGCTAATTCTCAGGTACTGAGAGATGGAAATTTGACAAACAATTCAGATAGCCCCTAGAGAAATGTCTCAGTTTGATTATGAAAAGACCCTCATCAAAGCCACTTTGGTAAGAAGATGACACCAATATTTATTTTTATGGAGTTCTCTGCTACTGCATAGAAATTGATAAAATGTGACCTGTGGATGATTTGGTAAACAGGACATCTTAGTAGACCAAAGTAAACTGTTGTCCCTGAGTAACTTCATCCCAAACACACACACACAAAAAAAAGGCTTTACATCTGTCATCTAGCTTATGCAAATGCTTCAAAGAATAAAGGAGTTTTTCCAAGTAATTGTTCGCTACTGGAGTTTCTACTTTCAAAAGTTCAGCTGGGGCCAGCAAGATGGTTCAGCAGATAAAGGTGCTGTGCATAGGCCTGATGACCTGAGTTCCATCACCAGATCCCACAAGTTATCCTCTGACCTCCACATGCACACTGTTGCATGCACACGCCTACACTCATACACACAAACTTTAATTTTTTAAGTTCACCTGCCGATTAACTGTACCTATTCATGATTTGATGAAGTAGAGACTGTCAGATACCAAAATGTAGCATTTTTATAACCTTAGACAAATCCCCAGTGTGAAAACTACTCACTGTGAAAAAACTAACATTCAAATAAATAAAGTGAGTCAAAAAATTTTCCTCTTGGTATATTTCAAGGGGCAGGGTTCAGGAAGGCCCTCTCTAACAGCACTCTGTGTGATTCTTAGCAACAATAAAGTGTGAAAGCCACAGCTGCTAGTCATCCTGTGTTCCGTCATCGAAGATATATGAAACAGGGCTGGGGAAACGGCTCAGTGTGTAAAGTGCTTGCCCTGCAAGCATAGAGACCTGAGTTCAAGCCACAGAACCCATGTTAACACGAAAACTGGATGTGGTGGCATGTCCTTGAATTCCCAGTACTGGGGAGGCAGAGCCGGGGGATCCCTGGAGCCTGCCGGTTAGCCACTCTGGCCTTGGCAAATGACTGGCCAGTAAGACCCTCTCTCTCAAAAAAAAAAGTTGATAGCACCTGAGAAATAACACCTAAGGTTCTCT